TTGTACAGTGGCGGAAATTTAAAGTCGGACACCAAGCTGACATTTTCATGGCATTTTCACCAATTTTCATCATCTCCAGAGTGATTTTATGTTGAATCAAATTACAAATTTCTAGTTTCCTATGATTCTTTATACTTATGAAACAATAATAAAGTCATATTTTGAGTCGTTAAAAGTTCTGCCCGACTTTAAATATCCCTCACTGTACTTCAAGTGCGAGAGAGCTTGTGTCGAAGCAACTTTCGAACAATTTTTTTAGCTTTTGTTAATGTACAGGAGTATTTAAATTTCAAAATTAAATTTCTTCTACACGAAAACAATAATTAAACACAAAGTTTTATTGCAAATATTAAATTATTAATGTTTGAATATATTAAAATAAAATACATCAGAGACACCTAAAACAGTGAAACAAAATAAGACACTTGAGGGGCCACCGTGTACCACGAATTGATGTGGAATAATACAACAACTGGGCAAATTCATAGACCAACTTCTTCAGAAAATCGGTATGTTTTTGGCGAATTCTCCCATATATTACTCTAGTTTTGATCGTTTACATTTACGGTGGATGTTTACAATTGTTATGAGTGACATCTGTCAGCGGCTTATTATTTTAACTTGTGATGATTAACATAAAAACGGTAATAAAACTCGATAATTAAGTTTCAAACGATTTTTTTTTTGCCAGTGTTAATCTTGGTTCATGGCCCTTTCAGTGCTTTCGTAGCGTCGAATTTCATCTATCTACCCTTTTCTCAACAATCTCAACCAATACTGTTTCTAACGGCAGTGGTTGGAAGTAATTCAATTCCTTTTCAAGTAATGAATAATTGTAATGCATTACTTTTCAAAAAATGTAAGAGTAATTTTAACGAATGACTTTTTTTGAACAATTCAGCTACTTTTACAATTACTTTTAACCTAAATACTCAAAAATATTGTTTTGCTTCTCTCTACGAATCGTCTACCTGACCCGAAGAAGATTAACCCATTAGGGAGTTAAAATCTAAAACGAGTTTAACACAGAATTTGTTAAGGGTCCCCAGTCGTCGCCCGCAAAATCGGTTTCAGTGAGAAGAATTATTTTTTGTAACTATGCAACCCAAAGTACCGATCCACCGAGGTAGCGACCCAAAAACACGAGAGATTATGGTCACTGCAGGGAGTCCGTCATCAAATGCAAATCGGTAAACAACACCAGATAAGCTTATTTATTTTCAAATGAAGGGTACAGGGAAATAACCATCGAAATCCATTTGTATGTATTTTGAAAGAAATTGAGTTGATACTTAGTTTAAAATGCTGCGGAAAATAGATTGAGAAACCCACAAGGTTCAGTCTAACACAATTTTTTATTTTCTTTATAATGTTTTAAAAATATATAAAATAAACTGTTTATGTTCAAATATAACAGCAAAAAAAAAATGGTGGAAAGTTGTTTCGACAGAACTTCCCTCGCACCTAAAATACAATGAAACATATCCAGCATTTTCGAGTTAAATTTTTACTTTAGGTACACAATTTTGTGAGGAAATTATCAACATTTTGCAAGGACACGTAAATCAATGTGGATTAGACTAAAAATAACAGTATTCCCAAAATTTCTGGGAAAATGGAGTGAGTCGTTCCTGATTTAATCAATAGAGTAAATTGACTCATTCATTAATTTTTTTGAGCCACCTAGGTATATAACCAAATCTAAAAAATTTGAATGCAATGATAAATTACAAGTAAAAGCTCATCATATTTTGCACATTGTTAGTAGAATTTATTCGGCAAAATTTTGAGATGACGTTATCAATTTTTTAGTAGCATAATCCTGAACTTGTGGTTTATAAATACATTACTGAGATTTTTCGGCTTTTCGGTTTTTCGATTTTTCAACTTTTGATGTTTCAATTTTTCAGTATTTTAATTTTTGACGTTTTCAATTTTTACATTCTTCAAATTTTCGATTTCTCCATTTTTTTATTTTTCGATTTCTCAATTGTCCGATGTTTCAATGATACGATTTCGCAACTTTTCAACTTTTCGATATTTTAATTTTTCAAAATTTAAAATTCTAGATTTTTCGGTTTCTCGAGTTTTCAGTTCTTCTATGCATATTTCAGTTTTTCAATTTTCGGAATTCATTAAATTTCTGATTTTCCATTTTTTTTTAATTTTTCGATTTTCCAGTTTTTCGATGTTTCGATTTTTCAATTATACGATTGTTCAATTTCTCGATTTCTAAATTTTAGATTTTCCAATTTTAATTTTTTTTTATTTTTTCATGTTTGGACTAGGTATTTATTATTGCTAAAAATAAAAGTAAAAAATAACTACCAAACTTGTAACTAAAAATATGTAAAAATTAATAGAAAGTAGAACACATTGCTGCTAAAACATAAAAATAACTGTAATTTCCCAAAAAAATCTATTGCATGATTACTGTTCCACAAGCATTGCTAATTTAGGACGTTGGTATCAAACGCAATGAAAGCATTAATTCTTAGTTAAACAAAAAAATAGTTGCGTGTCAAAATAGAGTGAAACATGTGAGATGTGTGTAAACAAAAGCATCTAAATAATAACTATTTCCTGCAGAATTTCTGGAGGCTTATAGAGTCGACATTGGCCTGAGCGCGCTCCGGTCTGTGGATCATACAAGTTCTCGGTCGACGATGTATCTAACGAGGCAGTTGAAATACCTGATATGTCACAGCGCAAAAAGTATTTCTCAAAAAACTTTCAAACGTCGATGTATTTTTAATCGAACAAAACACAATTGGCGAACGCAATAATCCAGTATGGTGCGCAGAAAAATCCCTTAGACTAACCGAACGTTATTTTGGTAAAATTTGCAAAATGAGAGAACAAGTAATACGGCTAATCCTATTGTATTGTGAAAAACATTTTACATCCCTGCAAATCTAGTTCAACATGTACTCTCCCAAAATCTTTGCATAGAAAATGAAGCAAGGGCAACTGAAGCATTTGCAGTAACACCAAACTGACAATAAGACAATGCGGTTTGTACATTCTTAGCGGTATCGCCAGACGGCTTAATAAACAAAAACGCTATCGTAGAAATATATAAAATGTCCAATTTAAATAATGCTTAATTCAACGAGATGATAAATTTTGGGAAAATAATATGATAGAGCCCTAGAAAAATTTTATTTATATGCCTTACCTCCGGAGAGAATAGATTCTCGTTATTAAACAAGTCTACCCATTAGACAAATTGTAAAGAAAAAATTGTACAATTAAAATTTTTTATTTGCATTCGCGTCATGTGTAGTTCATATAAATCTTTTGCCCTTCTAGTATAACCACACACAGAAATAAATAGTAATATTGGAATAGGTTTACTGTAGATATCACGTAAAAAACGTGCCTATAATACCTATAAATATATATAACCTCATAGATGGTGCGGAAAAGAGTAACAAAAAATTAAATTTAAATAAATATGATTGTTCAGGTAAATAAGTGTTTAGTGAAGTGATGAGAATCTAAATCTTGTCAGTTTTGTGTATTGATTAATATATAAAATGACAGATTAATAAAAAATATTTGAATAATTTTTTGAAAGAAAATATTTTAGTAGAATGTATAAAATTATAAAAATTTGCATACTTTTAAATCAAATTATATCAGCAATGAAAGAAGTCAACTTGTAAAAGAGTTTCAATAATGTTGGTCAGCTAAGAGTATTTATGAGTTTTATGACCTAAAGTACCTGGACTGATTACCTGAAAGGGTCGGTCGGCAAAGCTCCCTGCTGTGTAAAATTCAGCCATTTGTTAAAACGGAAAACTTTGTAAATAGGGTTGCCTAGTTTCACTTTATTTTCATTATTCAGTATTTTTTTAAAAAGCAAATATTTTGATAAATAGCAATTTTAAACAAAAACGACCAGGTCTTCCCCATAGAGCTCAATGTTGTCTTTGCACTGATATAAAAGTTGAAGCGAAAAATGCTCTCTCCTCGTTTAAAAATGCAATTTCCTTCGAAGAATGAACGATTAATTAAACACTAAACAATCACTTATTTTAAAAAATATTGTGTCTTCCCCAGAGATTTAGACATAATTTATCAATTGAAATGTCGATCTTTTTTTCAAAGTTGAAATTACGCCCGTAAAATGAAATTTTATTTAGCTCATTTTTCGGTCTGCTACTGGGCACCCTTAAGAAACCACATAACCATAATATATACAAACTCTTCATCATTTTAAGGGTGAGCTAAAGCAGCATATTCCAGCATAGGGAAATACATATAAACTTCTGCCCAAGTTTTTCCCAAAAGTATACGTCCGATTGTAATAAACTTCACACCGTTGAAATGAGCGTAAAAAACCCTACCCGGACTGCTTCTCCGTTTTTTAAATTTTGTTGTCAAAAAACTACAACGCGTTAAAATTGGGATGAGTATGAGATTATCTGGTTTTCGCTATTTATGAATCAATTTTAAATTTTTAGAAAGGTACATTAGTAGAAATTGTATTAAAAAATCCATTGCGCTTTACAGAAATAAAATATCTTAATAAATAATTGAGTAAACGGGGCAGAATATTTAAAATTTGTGGTCAAATAAACTTCAGCCATTTTCTGGTCCACTGAAATCTATAACAGGTAACCGATAGACCCCGTCCTTCTAAAGTTTTCAAATTTAATCTCGTAAGTCACAACGCCAAGTAAGAGGCAATTAAAGACAGACTTTTAAGTTTACATATCTTGTATCCCCCTTCTAAGTATTTAGAAGCATCCTTTTTATTAAAGAATAGAAGATTTGCGTCCGCGTCAAATTTTTCAAAGCGCAAAAAGCAATTTGTAATTGCAAGCATTACTTTTTAAAAGTAATTGTTCCAATCACTGTCTAACGGCAAGTGTTACGCCAATGGTTTTATCCCTAACGTCACAACACCTTTTCCGCGCAGTCGCACTGTCACCGCGTGTAATAAACCCCGCATTACCAACCGCCGACACTTTCCCACACCCCTAGACCCTTACCTTGACAACCTGCGCCTGCCCCAGCCTCGCCGCCACGTGCAACGCCGCCTGTCCATGCAGATCGTGCAAATCGAACAGCGGTTCCGGACTCTGCTCGCTCGACGACGACGCCAAAGACATCTGTCAACCAAAACAAAAGCCAAGTAAGCGCAAAAACCTCACGCTCCATCCGCCCGACAACAATAAAAACGCGAAAAATTCCCACAATCCCAGCCGACTAAAAAAACCGCTACACTCACTTGGCTTTCGTACTCGCATCCTTCCACATCCGTCTGCTCCACGGCGCCGGCCTCCAGCAGCAGCTTGAGCACCTTCTGGTCGGTCGGCAGGAAGGCGCCGAAGTTCACGCCCGCCATCTCGTTGCCCTCGAGCAGGCACTCCTCCACGTTGCAGCCGCTGAGGATGAGCCAAAGGACGGTGAGGGTGTGCACGTCGAGGGCGTTCTTGCTGGCCTCGAGCGTGCTGCTCACGGTGGAGGCGTCGTTGGCGGCTGGCGCGGAGATGTCGTGGGGCTTGGACAGATCGGATTTTTTCACCTTGTTGACTTCGGCGTAGATGGGGTTCTTGTCCACGGTGGGGCTCTTGAGGTTGATGTTGTCAAATTTGTCGGTGACTTCTTCGAGGCTGTTTTCGGTTTCGATGAAGCTGGTGTCGAGGCCTGGAAAATGACAAATGGACAAAGTAGAAAATTATGTATCATTTTAAGGTTGGCCGATCAACATAATTTGTAATCGAATTATTTCTTCTCCGAATTGATACGTTTAATGCTGTGTCGAAAGTTACGTCGCAGAAATTTTTTTAACAAAATTTTAGATATAATTTTGTATAGCTAATATGTGAAACAGGATTTCACAACAAGGGCAAAAACTGAAAACCTTTAATACTGATTTTTAATTTTGATTTAAATTCAATCTTGCTGCACATTCATTCAGAAATGACATTGCGTTTATGCTGGAATGGTATTTTCGAAATTGACAGCGTGTGGGAGTACTCAATTCAACAACATCATCGATTATGCCCATTTTTGCAACTCATTAAAACGATGTGTAACTCCAAGAAACTTCGCCTCTACAAAGAAAAGAGGGAACTGGCGGATCGAAAGATAAGAAAACTCGTTGAAGATGAGAAGATATTGAAATGAAACACATGGCCGTTGGTTGATAATTTTGAAAAGCATTGACATATATTGCAAGTGCCAACCACTTTAAGATTAATTATACTTTATACAACGTCAAAACAGTGTTTACCATAAAGAATTAAATGGCAATTAAGTAACTCGTTCGTTTTACGCACCATTGAATATTGTGATAATTAGTACATTTTAATTTTTTACTTCACAGTGAAGGTTGCAAATATCAAGAAAACACCTATCTAATAAGATTTGCTTTAAACATCCTTTACAGGATGCATACACTATAATACAATGTATATTATAATCTTAATTCATGGCTTCCTTACAAATAAAATATCCAGCTTTTTCGAAAAATTATACAATTAGATTTTGTGATATTTGTTTTGTGATCACCTCTATAATTGCAAGGGATTGTGCAAACTGCACAAGTATAGATAAAGTAAAAATAGAAATTCAAAACAAGCTTTAACGTCAAGTGTGAGTTTATACGAATGTTCCGAATATTATTGTCATTATTCTTGTTAAATAGAAATGCATAATCTCACCTTTTCGAGAAAATGTGGTGACTCGTTCTTAACTTGATCAATAAAAATTTGTTATGACGTCATAAACAGACGTAATACACAGCGCGAGAGAAAAAGAGAAAAAAAATCGGCCAAGTTTGCACCAAATGTGGGACCGCCGGTTCGCATGCTAAAGCTGTAAAACATCGTTCACTGTAAGATCAACAAAGGTAAACCACCCCCTTCTGAAGTGTGCATGTTACGCTACTGACTGACAGTCCGTTGTAGGATTCTGATGACTCACCATGTTGAACTTAAAATAATCCATCTCTAACAACCCTTGTCCTTCAACACTAGGTAATAGCAATCTGACGCTGAAGTGTTTATTTATGTGTAAACATCGAAAGAATCTCATCTAGAAATTAGTTTGACTTGAATGAGTTTGTCTTTTCAAAACACAGGAGTAAAATTATTAATTAAACGACAATTGAACAAAATGATCTGAATATTACAATTCTTATTTTATCATTGTATACAAACGTGCGTATTCGTCACATTTTCGAGACGTCACCAACATGGACAATACTAGTCACAACGTATTACCAGTGCAAGAAAAAACAAGGAAACGTAAATCAACTTGGATTGGTGCAGTGCAATACTACAAATAACAGTATTGTATTTCCAAAATTTTCTGAGAAAATGGGGCGAGCCGTTCCTGATTTAATCAATATAATAAATTGATTAATTCATTAATTTTTTTTGGGCCACTTGTTTAAACAAATCTAAAAAATATGAATACAGTGATAAATCACAAGTAAAAACTCATCATATTTTACACAATTTGGGTAGAATTTATTCATCAATTTTTTGGGGGGAATAAATAGATATCCACAATAACTTTAAAACATCTGCAAGATTTCAAAGCATTCAGTTTTGCAATTCTTGATTTATTCAATAAAATAAATTGACTGATTCATTAATTTTTTTGAGACACCCAGTATAAGGAAGTCTAAAAAATATTAATGCAGCAATATTTTGAGACGACGTCATCAGTTGTTTAGAGGGGATAAGCAAATACATTTTGGTCAATAATTTACCATGGTTATGAGAACTGTAAAACATCTCCAAGATTTCAAAGCATTCAGTTTGGCAGTTCTTGATTAAATCAATAAAATAAATTCACGCATTGATTAATTTTTTTTGAGTCACTGTATAAGTAAATCCAAAAAATGTGAATGGAATGATAAATCACTAGTATAGATTCATCATATTTTGGGCATTTAAAATATAATCTATTCGGCAAAATTTTGAGCTGACGTCATCAATTTTGAAGGGGATAAGGAAATATATTTTGATTAAATATTAAATTGTAAAATGTTGTTTTATAATTTTGATTTTTTTTTTTTTCTAAAAATCTGTACGTTTCCGATAAAAACTCAATACGGCGCCATAAACTACATGTGTAGGACTATGTTATTTTATACAATTTAAAACCCATTTACTATGTACAATTTTGAAAATTTGACAACAATCGGTCCAGTACTTTCGGAGATTATCTGTCTAATAAAAATCCGGGACGGCAGACAGACGGACGGACAGACAGACAGACAGAGAGAGAGACGGAAACGGGAGACCTAAGTCGGTGGACGGACTAGATTACACAAAGGTACAGCAAAGTTTCGAATGGAACTTGCGACCGCCGGTCCGCATGCTAATACCTTAGCCGCAACCTTACGGACGGTTATACTCTCAGTGTTAAAATGCTATTATACTGTGTTAATTTTTTTGCAAAAATTTTAACGTTTAGGGAAAAACTCGAAGCTGATTCATACACCACAAGCGTAGGAATATATTGTTGTTTAACATTTAAATCATTTTAATTAGAATTCTTTGAGATGACGTCATCAAATTGTTGGTGGGGACGATTAAACAAATTTTGGTTAGCATTTAACCATTTACATTATATTCCTAATCTAATATACATACAAAATTTGACAACAATCAGTCCAGTAATTTCGAAGATTAGGTGTCCAACAAACATCGACAGAAACGCCAGACAGACAGACGGAAACGGGAGATCAATTTTTTCGTATTCCAGTGGTTATGGAACGTCGAGAAAACATGAAACTGGAAAGTCGCCCGATAAACTCAATTACTATACTTTCTTAGCTTACGCTCGGTAAATAAAAATTAACAATTTCTTCTTTTATCCACAAAAAATTTATATCGGGTTATTTTGATGGGGTTGTTTTGTTGCTGAGCTATTTTGTCGGGGCTACTTTGACGGGTCATGATGTCTAACATAAATCGACACAGACGACAGACAGAAATAATCGAGAGGCTACTTTGTTCAGGTGATAAAATGAATAATTTTATTGATAAAATAAATTCCCTCATTCATTAATTTTTGGGAGTCATTCCGTAAAAGCAAATCTAAACAAGGTGTCACTCACAGCAACCATAAACATCGAAAAATCAAAGAAAATTCCTCCACTATCGAGCACTCGATTTTGCATTGACACCAACGCATTATTCTAAGAAACCATAAACCTTAAAAAATAGATCTTGTCAATACAAGAAATGGGTTCTGTTTAACTACGAGAAATTTGATTAATAAAAATTATAATAATAACAAACGAAATCAAGGCAAATTCATAGACTACAAGAGTCTTATTCTATAAAATTAAATGGCATGTACTAAGCAAAATTTAGAGAGGACGTTATCAAATTGTTGATGGGGATGATTAGATAAACTTTGGTCAACATTTTACCATCTACACACTATTCCTAACATACGTCTAAAATTTGGTAACAATCGGTCTGCTGGTTTCGGAGATTATGTGTCTAATTAGCTTATTAGCTTACGCTCAGGAAGTAAAAATCATTAGCGTTTATAAAATACGTATAACACATATCATCACGGAATCCAAAAGAAAAGTATATTTTTTTTTAAGAGAAAACTAAAATAAAAAGTGCTTTGTGGAAGATAATTAAAAACGGAGTCAAATTATCTACACACAATTTTCGGAAAATGCGATCTTTCCATTTTTTTATGTATGAGCCTCCAAAACAAAACTACAAAACTTAATAAAATCATTTTCTTCTCCAGGAAGAATATTTCGAGCAAACATCCACTTTCGACACTACAGTTTTTTCAATGGCTACTGAATAATGCGACACCTTGAAGGATCACAAAATAATTGTGTTAGATATACATATATCATATACTATAAGATCGAAAGAAAAGTTCTCTAAATTTATTTTTAAAATAATTAGATTGACAATTCCAGCCAAATGACAAGTAGCTGCGATGCCACGATCATTATTTTAAATATCAATCCCAAGGCCCACTAAAGGACTTTTTTCGATCATGTGGTACTTTTGAGTGAGCAATAGGCACACAAAAATAGTGTCTAAATTAGATATTTATCCATTACTTCCTCTCCATGGCAGAAAGATTTGTTTTCGAGGTACATTAAAAAAGTGATTTTAAAGTTATTTAGACAGAACAGAACGGTAAAGATTGCTCAAAAAAATTGTAAAGTAACTGTGATTAATAATCAAGGCTGATTCATAGCCCACAATATATTGTTTTATCAAATTTAAATAAAGATTAATCCATAAAATTTTAAAGTAACGTTATCAAAGTATTGGTAAAGATGATTAGCCAAATTTTGGTTATCGTCTACACGATATTCATAACATACATATAAAATTTGACAACACTCGGTCCAGTAGTTTCTCAAACGGCAAATCTATTTTTTCGTACTCTACGGGTCATAAAACAAAAGCGGTAAATTTTGATCACTACATTTGTGTCAACTTTTCCAACTTGACCTACAAACATTTATAGACACCCTGTATTACATCGCCTTTTAAAATCACTTTTAAATAGCGTCATTCGTGTTTAGCAATTTAAATTCACTTTAATATCTCACATACTTGAAAAGATGGAGGTTAGAAATTTGCAGTGATTAATTGATGCAAAAAATCTATATTATCCATCTGTGCTGGTTTTTCTGC